ATAATAATAATAATAATAATAATAATAATAATAATAATAATAATAATGGGCCTGACAGATGAGGCTGCTGTTCTCTGCTGGCTGACTCACGCTGACTCACACAGGGGCGCAATGCATGCTGGGAAACCAGATGACTGTTTTACAGGTGTGACCGTAAAACCAGGTCAGGTGAACTGCTCACAGCCAATCAGACCCTCAGCTCCAACTCAACCCGGTTTCGGTCCTCCGGGGGTTACAGGGAGCAGAACCGGGCCAGAACCGGGCCAGAACCGGGCCAGAACCTGGTTAGGACCGAGATAGAACCGGGCCAGAACCGGGTCAGGACCGGGTCATAACCGCGTCAGAACTGGGTCAGGACCGGGCCATTAACGGGCCATTACCGGGCCATAACCGGGCCATAACCAGGTCAGGACCGGGCCATTACCGGGCCAGAACCCGCGTCAGAACCGGGTCAGGACCTGGCTATAACCGGGTCAGAACTGTGTCAGAACCGCGTCAGAACCGGGCCATTACCGGGTCAAACCCGGTCCCACACACACACTCACACACACACGCACTCACCCTCCTCTGATCGGAAGTACACGGCGGCCCTGGGGGCCCCGGCCTCCAGCTCCACGCGGCAGTCCCCCCCCCCGGACCTCCTCCGGCTCTGGAAGTAGAGCTGCAGCTTGTTCTTCAGGCTCCGGCCCTGCTCCGGCCCCCACGCGCCCTCCACGGACAGCGGCGCGCACTCGGCCATCCCGTCTGTCCGGCTGCAGGCGCTGACTGGCGGACCGGCCCCGCGGGTTCCGCCCCCCCCCCCTCAGCCCGCTCACTTTCACTTTCGTTTCCCCGCAAAGCGGCGGAAACGAATCCAGCTCCGGGTTTAACCCCCACGCGCCTCCCCAGGACCACACCAGGAGGAGGACTCTTCTATTCACGCCTTTTTAGTTTGTCTTTATTTCCTTTAAAATAAAAAAATCTAATTTGTTTATTTGTTTGTGACACAAAGCTTATTCGGCCAGTTTGGGGATTTAGGCTCCAAAGACAGATTAATGTGTCACACAGAAAAGTTTAGGGCTTTTCTTTTTTTTTTTTTAACCCCCTCTGTTGTTTTAGAAACGGAATCCGTATTAAAGCAGAAACCCAAACAAGCATCAGCCTGTTCGGGAGTCTGAGGAACAGCTCCACCTGCTGGAGATTCTGTGAAATGACACCCAACCTTCTGTTTAAATATAAATAATTTCAAATCAAACACGGATTAGATTCTTTTTTATGTCAGTCTTTATTACAGCTGCTGATTAAAGTCATTTATACCAAAGATACAAAGTAGTAACATTAGGAAAATTAAGGAAATTAAAGCAGTTTATAGGAATAATGCCTTTATTATATGTTATTTCTTTGTGGAGTAAATAAATTCAGTGTTTTTATGCGTTTATAAATTCATAAATGTAAAATTCTCCTGTCATATCTCGGAAATCTTCACGAAAAGCTGAGAAAAGAGGAATAAACAGATGTGAGATGTGAACACGTGGCTGTCAGATAGACAGCAGCTGAAAGCGGAGCTCAGGCTTCATTCTTCTCTTTTGGTTCACCTGCAGAGAAACAAGGACAAGCCTTCATCAGGAGGAGGAAGAGGAAGGTATAGTCCAGAGAAATCAGCCTCTTTTCTCTCCTTTAACCTCCAGAGAGGCTTTAGCTGCAGCTCCAGAGTTTCTCTGTTTCCAGCTGAACTCTGAGTCATTCAGGCAGAAAAAAGGCCCCTAACTCAAGGGATGAGCCAGCTCTGTTTCCAAGCATTTTAATTGGACACAGAGCAAAATCAGAAGGATAAAGATGAGTTTAAAAAGTCTTCATCCACCTTAATTTCTTCATATTTTCCCTCAAAGCAGCCAGACGTCTTTAGAGGGTTTTTAGTGACATTTATCCAGGATTTCTGAGCTTTATCAGAGTTTTTGATCTGATATCCTCTACTTTTTCACTCATATTTAGTAAAGTTTTAATCCTTGTTAAGCCACATGGGTCAGAATGCGGCCCCTAACTCAAGGGCTGAGCCACTCTGTGCCTGCTCCAGAGGAGGGTTCAGAGATGGAGGAGAAAGGAAGAAGAAGAAGAAGAAGAAGAGCCCCCTTCCGTGTGTGTGCGGGTACTCACAGTCGGGTTTGGGCGGGGCCGGGGGGGGGGTGGGGGGGGCGGTTTGACACAGGAGTAGGACACCTCCAGGTAGCGGGTGGGCTCCTTACAGGGGTACTCCCCGAACACCAGCTCAGTGTTGGGCACCAGGCAGGACCTCCTGCTGCCACAGCTGCAGACACACAGAGGTCAGCAGCTGGAAACAGCTGGAAACAGCTGGAAACAAGCTTGAAACAGCTGGAAACAAGCTGGAATCAGCAGAAATCTGATGAATTCAACTGGGATCAGCTAGTATCAGCTGGACCTCAGCTGGAATCCGTTAGAAATCAGATGGAAAATAGCTAGAAATTGGCTGAAAATTAGTACATTAACACAAAAACAAAAAAATTAACAGATTAAACAGATGAAACGATGTAATAAGCAGGAAAGAAAATAAGAATCAGAATGAATAAGCAAAATATGAGGTGAAAATCAACTTAAATCAGATGGAAATTGCAGTTGGTGTCAGTAACAAATGAGATGGAAAATGGCTGGAAATCGACAAAAATATCTAATAAAAAAACAACTGGAATTAGATGAAAATAAACTGGAATCAGATAAATAACTACTGGAATCAGATTTTAAAAAATGGAATCAGCAAAAAAAAACACACATCTGGAAACAGATGAAAACTAACTGGAATCAGCAAAACAAAAACAAACAAAAAACACAACAACTACTGGAATCAGCTAAAAATCAACTGGAATCAGCTAAAAATCAACTGGAATCAGATAAAAGTCAACTGGAATCAGATAAAAAGAAACTAGAATAAGATAAAAGTCAACTGGAATCAGATTGAAATAAGATAGAATAAGATAAATTCAACTGGAATCAGATGAAAATCAACTAGAATCAGATAAAAAATCAACTGGAATCAGATCAAAATCAACTAGAATCAGATTAAAAAATCAACTGGAATCAGATCAAAATCAACTAGAATCAGATTAAAAAATCAACTAGAATCAGATAAAAACCAACTGGAACTCAGCCCTGCTGGTTCCCACCCTGCCTCACTGGCCTTGACCCTCCACAGCTTCCATCCCTCAGTGACCCTTTAGAGTCAGCAGACTCAGAACAAAAGCATCTTAAACAGATCCAGCCCTCTGATTGGCCCCCTGGATAGTCAGCCGTTGGGCTGAAAGACGGTAAAGTGCTCACAGGTCCTCCACCACCATCTCGGCCCAGGGGAAGCTGCAGAAGCTGCCGGGCCCGTCCTCCGGGTGCGCTTTGCCCTCGCCGCACCGCGTCCCCACCCCCACCTTATACAGGATGTGGTCCAGGTTTATCTTACTGCCCACGTCTGGAGGAGAAGCAGGCAAAACAACCCTTTACTCTGTGTGTTTCATCCCCCAAATCAGCAGAAAACATGAAAAACCTCCTTCATTGAATAGTAAATGAAAAATAAATGTTACATTTTAAGGAAATCTGTGGGGAACTGAAGAGTTAATCAGGGGTTTAGCTCTTTTTTTGCATCTGAGTTTGCATTTATTAACATAAAAATCAGAGGACGTCTTTTAAATCATTAAAAACAAATAAAATCACAAGTTTAAAATGAGTAAAATCAGCTGCCTGGAGCTGCCAGAAGGGGGCGCCACAGGCTTTATTCATAGTGGTGGGGATTTAGTGGTCTTTTTAAACAGGAAATGAAGAAAATAATAACAACAAAATACTCAAAACCTTGAGAACAAATAAGGAACATTTTTTGGCGTTTCTTAAATTCAAGTTTTTTTCCTTTTAATTAACTCAAAAAGTAGAAAACAAACATGAATGGGAAAGCAGCTGAATGGTTTCCAGCACGGAAAGCAGACATTAAACTGGTTGTATTTCTTTTAGTTTAACGCTTTACTTAGATAATAGGATTAATGTAGTAATTGTACTCTCATAAATGTGAGTGTTTGCTTTCCGTTCTGGGGTCAGAGGGCAGATTTTAGGGGTTTCCTGTCTAAAAACAGCTGGATTTACTCTGTTTGTGTCTCCAGTTTCCTCCTAAAGAGGAGGAATGTGGGCTGGATGAAACTGGATGTGGACCGCTGAGGTTTGGTCCCTTCTCCACTTTGTTGTGGCGGTTTGAACTGCTTGTGGAGCTCTGGGCTGCAGGGTGGCGCCCCCTGCTGTCGGGAGGGAAAAGCTCTTTGTTGGAGTCATTAAAAATCTGCTGTTTTGTTGATTTTTTAAAATGGTTCTTGTCCCTCTAACTTCCTGTCTGTGAGTCAGGAAGCTGGACACCAACAGCCATCCCTTCCTTACTTTGGCTTTTTGGGGTTTTATTCTTTTTAATCTTATTTTATCAGGAATCTTGAGGACTCACTTCGTGTAAAACACAGAAGGGGGTAAATCTGAGGGTCTGGTGCAGCTTTCCTGCTGAAACAGCAGCAGGTTTACAGGCTCCGGTCATAAAGCTGCAGGCTTTCCTCATCAGCTCACAGTTTTTATTTCTCCCCTTTGATGTGGAGGACTTACCGCAAGACATGTGCACAGTCTCATTGAGACAGGCGTAGACCACCTCAGCCTCTGTAAAACACACAGAAAGCTGCTCTCAGCCTCACATCCTCATTTAAACCAGTTTTTACAAACCACGCATTTCACAACTCTGATCATCTGACAAACAAACAAAAACAACAAGCAGAGCAGGTTTTTTGGATAAAACTGTGGAAATTATTGAAGGAAAAAGAAAAAACGGCCTGAGGCTAAACCAGAGCCCCGTCTGGAGGGATGATGAAGAACAGACCCGGAGTGAATGATGGGGAAATAAGTCTGAGTTTAAAACTAATGCAGCTCACTCTTTAGTTTGTTTGAGGTTTTGAGGCTGAATTTGCTAGTTTGACTTCTGGTCCAAATGATTTTTAGATCAGGATTTAAACAGTTTCAGATCTTAAATGGCTGAAGAATTACCTTTTTTATTTAGATGTGAAAATAATTCAAAGGGTGTACCTGCTGTAAATTGAAGATAAAATGGAAAAATACTTTACAAACAAGTGAAAAGTGGCTCCAATTTGCATGGATTTTCATTTGACATGAAATGTAATGAGTGTGTACATATCGTCACATATTTTATATTTTTTCCCTAGTTTTATCCAGTCAAACGTCTCCAGAAACTCAAATTTCTTTCAGCTACAGCATCTTGAGTTTCCATCTGAATGTGCTTTAATTCTGAGGGAGGAATATTTACACATGCCTTTAAACTCCTTATTTATCCCTCAGGATTTATCTAACAGCTGGAGGTTTTTATCTATTCACTCATATGTTAAAGGGACATTAAAAGAACAAGATCTGTGTCATTTGTGTGAAAAAGCATTCAGTCTGAGGCCAAAACTTCTAATCTGTTTTCAGCTTTATTTTCTGTTTCCTTTCCTATAAAGAGCCTGACAGCTAAACCTCTGAGACAGAAAAGTGTTTTTTTGGGGGGGTAAAACTCACCAGCAGCACCAGTCAAACAGCAAGCTGCAGCCAGCACTGAAAACACAGCACATCAGGTCAAAACACAAGATTCTTCCTCTGAACTCAGAAGAACAGTAAAGAAAAGAAGTTAAGTAAATTAAACTGTCACGTTTCTGACCTCTGGACGGGATTATTTCCCCTTCAGATCTGAAAATGTCAATTTTTATATGAACAGCAAAAGAATGTAGCTGGAAATTTCAATACACCCATAAAAACCTGAACTTTGATCAGTTTACGATGCAGTTTAAGAAGATTAAAGCAGGTTAAAACAGGTTAAATGAGATTAATTCTGGTTAAATCAGGTTGAATTTGATCAGCTTCAGTTTCAGATTAAGCAGGTTATACCAGGTTTAATCAAGTTAAAATAGATTAAATCAGATTAAATGAGGTTGAATCATACTAATTTTGATCAATTAAATGTGGTTAAATCAGATTAAATCAGATTAAATCAGATTAAATCAGGTTGAATCTGATTAATTTCGGTTAAATCAGGTTAACTTTGATCAGTTTCAGCTGCAGATTAGGAATGTTACACCAGGTTTAATCAAGTTAAAATAGATTAAATTAGGTTAAATTAAGTTAAATCAGGTTTAATCAGAATAAATCAGGTGGAATCAGGTTCTTTTTGACCAATTAAATCGGATGAAATCAGGTCAGATCAGGTTAACTTTGATCAGTTTCAGATTGAGCATGTGAAATCAGATAAAATCAGATAAAATCAGGGGAATTAGATTAATTTGAATCAGAATAAATCGGTTTAAATCATGTTGAATCAGATTAATTCGGTTCATATAAGGTTACATTAGGTTTAATTGTTAAAATTGATCAATTAAATCAGATTAAATCAGATTAAATCAGGTTAAATCAGGTTAAATCAGATTAAATCAGATTAGATAAAGTTAAATCAGATTAAATCAGATTAGATACGGTTAAATCAGATTAGATAAGGTTAAATTAGTCAGCATGAGCCAATGGGGCTCCTGCGTGGAGGGGCTCGGTGAGTACTCACGGCTGAGGGCGAGCAGCCTCAGAGCGTCCATGCTTCTGTCTCTGCCCCACCGGCCGGCCGCCGCCTTTTAAGGCCGGCAGACGGGCCGGCGCCTGCCCGGCACGCGGGGCCTCAGCTCCCAGATGGGGCGCGCCATAAATCCACGGGGGGCCCCCAGCCCTCGCCGGGGAGCGGGGGGCCGGGGGCGAACATCTGGAGCAGGGAGCCAGAGGTGGAACTCTCTCTGGAGAGGTAAAACAAAACAGGGATCCCTCCACAGGTTCTGCAGCCCCGGGCCTCAGACAGCAGCTTCCTGCCCCCCCCCCCCCCTCTGTTTTGGAAACTTTCAGCTTTCAGCTCCAAAACACTGAGCATCATTAAATGAGCCAAACAAAAAAAACAAACGAAGACCAACCAATCCTGACGCCTCGCCTCCCTCCCTGCTTCTGTCAGTGATGGAGACAGTCCGGAGTCCAGACTAGTTAGAGAAAAAAACGGTTTAATCAGGTTAAATCAGTTAAATCAGATTAATTCAGGTTAAATCAGACTAATTTTGATGGATGAAATTAGGTTAAATCAGGTTAAATGAGGATAATCAGGTTAAATCAGATTAATTTTGATGGATGAAATTAGGTTAAATCAGGTTAAATGAGGTTAAAACCGGCTTTCAGATGCTTCAAAACCCAGCTGGGTCCCAGAGTCCAGTCTTGTTAGAAGAAAAAACGGTTAAATCAGATTAATTAAGGTTGATTCAGGTTCACTTTGAAGGATGAAATGAGGTTAAATCAGATCACATCAAGTTAAATTGGGTTAAATCAAGTTAAAACCAGCATTAAGATGCTTCAAAATCCAGCTGACTCCAGTCTGGTTAGATAAAAAAAATGGTTAAATGAGGTTAAATCAGATTAAATCAGGTTTAATCAAGTTAAAATAGATTAATTTAGGTTAGATTAGGTTTAAATAGGTTACATGAGGTTAAAACTGTCTTTAAATTGCTTCAAAACCCAGCTGAGTCCAGTCTGGTTGGATGAAAAAACATCTTTTCTCCAAGAGATGTAAACTAACAGAATAATGATGGTTATCTGTGATTTTTCTGGGACATTTCAGAGCTTACTCCCGCAGTACATGTCCCAAACTCTGCTGATTTTTCCCTCCATTTTTAAAAGTGAGTTAACATTTTCTTTTACTTTTCCAGAAGTGTGGAGTCCTGTTCCAGATTTTAGTCCATGAAGTCTACTCTCATCATCTTAATGAGTTAAAAAGTTCTATCCATTTGTTGGTGTTTGACTCTCACTTTCAACTGAGATAAAGAGTCCAAGTTTAAGTTCAGAAGAGGAAAAAAAGGGGAGTGTTGGTCGTTTTGAAGGCAGAATGTCGTAAATTAAAGTATGAACAGACAGGAGGTCATCAGAGATCATCCTCTGGAATCCAAACGAGTTTAAACACGTCCCAAAACAAGCAGAAACTGTATCAGTGCCCCACCAGAATCCAGCAGAACCTCCACAGAGTCTAACTGGTTCCAGGAGCGACTTCTGTGTTAAATATTGGTATGTTGGTTCAAATCTTCCATCAGAATACTCTGCAATTCCTAGAATTGGTTCCAAAAACCTACGATAACTCCTTAATAAATACTGCAGATAATTACACATAGCAAGAAAGCAAATGACTTCTAGAAGAGAGATGGAAAAAGAAATAAATGATAAAGAAATAATCAGTAAAAAGGGTTTTTATTGGCAGGTAGAGACTGAGATACTACCTGAACTTTAAACTAACTTAGCTCATTTATTTCTATTTAATTTTTATATATATATATTTTTTTTTCTATGACTTCAATATATGTTGGAAATGTACTTTGGGTTATTGTGGAGCCTCCTATCAGAAGGGGGAGGCTTAAACTTTGTGTTTTCTGTTTTCGTCTGAGCTCCAACAGTCCCACATCTGAGCTGGAGCCCAGAAGAAGTCATAAAGTCTGTTTATGGGGCGTAAACCTCCATGCTGTCAGGCCAGAGGAGCTGGAGGCAGGAGAAAGGGCCCCGACACGCAGAGACCCCCCCCAGGCTGTGAAATACCAGCCTCCATCCAGCTGTGGCAGCGACATCACCAGGTTACCCAGCAGCCTACCCATCAACGAGCAGTCTTTATGAACACTTATTACTACTGTGCAATTAATATTTCATATTTAGAAATCTACATAAGTCACCTTAAATGTTCTGTTCTTTGTTTCTTTTTATTTCCCAATCCACTACATATATGTATTTATATGTAACCTCATGCAACTTTTCCTCCTTTTGGGACCTTCTTTTGATCACAAGAGCTGATGTGACACGTGAATTTCTCCACTTTGAGATCAATAAAGTCTATCTTATGTGATCTTATCTGAACACTTATACTCAGGGCAAAAGTGATGAAATAAACACAGTTATGAAAAAATGATAAAAGAGAAAAATAAGAAACAAAAAGCACTCCAAAATGGAGGGACAACATATCAGAAAAAAGGGAGATAAACAACAAAAAATCCCTCCACAGTGAAGGCAAAGGCCAAATGATGAAGATACACTGGAACAGAAAATCTCTCTAAGGGAGGCTATATAACACAGTAGGAAACCAGGCAGGAACTATGAAAACTATAAAGACTGAAACACTCGCCTGGAGGAAAAGAACACGTTCACAATCCGATTAAACCGAGAAAAGAAACACAATCAGGAATCAGAGTGGTGACACATGGGAAGAGATCTGACACCAGAGGAGAGCGAGCTTTCACAATAAAACAGGAAGTCAGAATGAGGTCCAGGAGAAGACAAACCTCACAGAGAATCCCAGCAGAGAGACGAGACCCGGTCCAGGAGCAGAGACCCGGTCCAGGAGCA